TAAAAAAACCTATGTTAAAAAAATTTTTTTACATGTAATTGGAAAAAACGTTAAAAAATAAGATAAAATGTCCAGTCCTGTAACTCAGCAATTTCAATAGATTTCAACACATCTGCAATACAAATTTATAATATATCCCAAGGAGGTCAAACAGAAACAAAGGTCCAATATAAACCATAATATTCACAGTGGTACTTTTTTGTGGGTACCCATCAACTGCAGGAATGGCTTAACCAAGTATGATATATACATGTAATGAAAGATTAATTAGGTATAAGAAATGACTTATGAGGAATTGAGGGAAACATGGAAAGCTTTTATGAATTCATGCAGAGAATACAATACCAAAAGGACAATATACACAATGACTACAAATGCAAAAATCACTAAAGGAAGGCAAAGAGGCAAATACTGAGTAACTGAAAAACTAATAATAATCCTGGAGAATATATAATAAAGTATAATTTTTGCTTTGCTATCAATGTTAGTTTGTTGCAAAACAGGTGCTTAGAAAGCTATAGCAAAGTGAGGCATGCGGACATCTCCTAACTGCAGTGCTCACGGCAAATATTTACAAGACCACCAAGAAAATAAAAGCAGTTTTTTGGCCAACATTTGTTATAGAGGAAGTTAGGGAAATTTCATGAAGAATTTGATAAGATCCTTTAAATTAAATCAATATATATTTTTAAAGTTCGTACCCTGGGTAAGACACTTAACCTCTTTGTGGCCTACGCAACCCTCTATAATTGTAAATTATTGTATTATATACTTGTATTATATAATTGTAAGTAACCTGCACTGGTGAAGGAAGTTCCTCACTAGGAAGTCCTGGTGAAATCACAGGTCTGATACAGAAAAAATTTCACAGTTATCTTTTGTTTTTATGTCACATTCATTTCCAAATATATCCTTCCTCTTCCCTACCCAGTGAACAATACTTTGTAATACAGACAAAAAAAAAAGTAGCAGCAGTTCAGCAAAAGCACTACCTTCTAGATTCCTCCTGATATCAAGGTGTTTCCCTTATATATGGGAACATTTTATCAGAGAGAGAATCTTGTTTAATGATTCTTTGATCATTACTATCAGGGAACCCACAAAAGAGAGTAAATGTACATTCACCAAAGGTGTTCTCCAATACCATAGCGGGAAATCAAGGTAGAGTACAAGCTAAAGAATGATTCCCTATAAATGAAGAGGTTGTTCAAATGTTCTTTGTAGATGACATTGTGCAGATACTACCAAGCCCTGGAACACTGTAAAGCTACCAAATGAGATCTTCAAGAGTTTAGCAAGTGGATAAAGAATACCTATTGTCTAGAATTACAGCCCTGGCGGAGGCACAACAGTGGCATGAAAGCAGTGACTTGCTTGAATTCTCCCCCAAAGCCCTCCAAATAGGTAAAAAATGGCTCTAAACAAATTCTAGAACAGCAGAACCCACAAAAAGACAGAATGAAATAAATTTCCAGCCCAAGACAACCTGGATGGTTGATTGGAAAGGTCTATTACACCAGGCTAGGAAAGGAACGCAGTTCAGCATGGGCACTCATGCAAAGACCAGACTTCAGCGAACCTGAAGCAGGCCTGAGGACTGAATCACGGGCAACTGTAGTGGTTTCCAGACTTCTCAACCCGCAAACACCAAAGAAAACTTAGAAGGTCAGTAGGAAAGGTCTGTGACTGCAGTGAGAGAGAAGCTTGGTTCCAGCACAGCACCTGGGCAGAGGCTATTCCAGAGCCCTCAGCTCACAGACTGAGGGGGAATCGAGGGGCTGATCATAGGGGGATTGCAGGGATATCTTTGCTGGTGCTGAGGCAGGAGTCTCTTGTTTTCCCCGTGCTTGGATCTGGGTCACAGTTCTGGATGGTGTCCTGGCACAAGAAGGAGCACCGGAGTGGTGGAGCTTGGTGGAGAGCGAATCCTCCTCAAAGTTCCAAGAAAAGAGTGCTTGTGGTCACTCACAGACCAGAGTACAGACCAAGAAAGGAGTGAACACCTCACCCTTGATTGTACCACCTTGAGAGAACTGAAAATTTACAGATCCCTAGCAGTATCTCTGAAAACAGCTGCACAAAACCCCTAAAACTTGGGACAGCACATTCTCCACACTTGGAAGCAGACCCCTACCTTAACAAAGCCTTTAAAACTCAAGTAATTGGCTGGAAACACGAGAAAACTGTGCAAAAAAAAAGTCAAGACCATAGAATATTTCTTTGGTGATTAAAGAAGATCAAAACATATGACCAGAAGAAGACAACAAAGTCAAAGCTCCTATATCCAAAGCCTCCAAGAAAAATATGAATCAGTTCCAGGCCATGGAAGAACTCAAAAAAGGATTCTGAGAAGCAAGTACAAGAAGTAAAGGAAAAACTGGGAGTGACATAAGAAAATCATGAAAAACAAGTCAACAGCTTGCTAAAGGAGACTCCAAAAAAATAATGAAGAAAATAACACCTTAAAAAATAGCCTAACCCAAACGGCAAAAAAGGTCCAAAAAGCCAGTGAGGACAAGAATGCCTTAAAAAGCAGAATTGGCCAAATGGAAAAGGAAGTCCAAAAGCTCACTGAAGAAAATACTTCCTTAAAAATTAGAATGGAGAAATTGGAAGCTAGTGACTTTATGAGAAATCAAGACATTGTAAAACAAAACCAAAAGAATGAAAAAATAGAAGACAACGTGAAATATCTCACTGGAAAAACAACTGACCTGGAAAATAGATCCAGGAGAGATAACTTTAAAATTATTGGACTATCTGAAAGCCATGATCAAAAAAAGAGCCTAGACATCATCTTTCAAGAAATTATCAAGGAAAACTGCCCTGATATTCTAGAACCAGAGGGTAAAATAGAAATTGAAAGAATCCACCAATCACCTCCTGAAAGAGATCCCCAAAGGAAAACTCCTAGGAATATTGTAGCCAAATTCCAGAGTTCCCAGGTCAAGGAGAAAATATTGCAAGCAGCCAGAAAGAAACAATTCAAGTATTGTGGAAACACAATCAGGATAACACAAGATTTAGCAGCTTCTACATTAAAGGACCAGAGGGCTTAGAATATAATATTCTAGAGGGCAAAGGAGATAGGATTACAACCAAGAATCACCTACCCAGCAAAACTGAGTATAATCCTTCAGGGGAAAAAATAAACATTCAGTGAAATAGAGGACTTTCAAGCATTCTTGATGAAAAGACCAGAGCTGAATAGAAAATTTGACTTTCAAATACAAGACTCAACAGAAACATGAAGAGGTAAACAGGAAAGAGAAATCATAAGGGACTTATTAAGGTTGAACTGTTTACATTCCTACATGGAAAGATGATATTTGTAACTCATGAGACCTTTGTCAGTATTAGAGTAGTTGGAGGGGGAAAAAAAGTATATGTATAGAGAGACAGAAGGCACAGGGTGAGTTGAAGAGGTAATATCTGGAGAATAAAATTAAGGAGTGAGAGAGGATGATACCGGGAGAAGGAGAAAGGGAGAGGTAGAATGGGGTAAATTATCTCACATAAAACAGACAAGAAAAGGCTTTTACAGTGGAGGGGAAGTGGGGGAAGGTGAGAGGGAAAGGGAATGAGTGAATCTTATTCTCATTGGATTTGGCTTAAGGAGGGAATACCATACACACTCAATTAGGTATGGAAATCTATCTTACCCTACAGGAAAATAGGGGGGAAGAGCATAAGAGAGGGAAGGATGATAGAGGGGAGGACAAATTGGGGGAGGGAGTAATCAGAAGCAAACCCTTTTGAGGAGGGACAAGAGTCAAAGCAGAGAGTAGAATAAATGGAGGGTGAGATAGGATGAAGGGAAATATAGTTAGTTTTTCACAACATGGCTATTATGGAAGTCTTTTGCATAAGTACACATGTATAGCCTGTATTGAGTTGCTTACCTTCTCAATGAGGGTGGGTGGGGAGGGAGGAAGGGAGAAAATTTGGAACCCAAAATTTTTAAAACAAATGTTAAAAATTTGTTTTCACATGCAACTGGGAAATAAGATATACAGGCAATGGGGTAAAGAAATCTATCCTGCCCTACAGGAAAATAGAAGGGGAAGAGGATAATAGGGGGGGATAGAAGGGAGGGCAGATTAGGGGAAGGGGTATTCAGAATGCACACCGTCTTGGGGTGGGGGGAGGGACAAGACGGGGAGAAAATTTGGAACTCAAAATCTTGTGGAAGTGAATGTTGAAAACTAAAAATAAATAAATTAATAAATAATGCTGTAAAATTAATAAAAAATGCTGTAAAATGGAAAACTTACACAGCTCACCCATGTATATGTAAATATATGGTATACTATAAGATGGACAACCTACAACTCAACTATAAGGAATGTGTGTGTGTTTGTATAATATATCTAACAATGCAGGACAATGTTCTGTAAACTGATAATGAATAAAATCCAGAACTGAACAGAAGAAGGAAACTGCTTTTGGGAATTAGCAAAGTTCTTTTAAATGGTCCCTGGCTTTTCCCTAAAACAAAGGCCCATATTTTTCATGCCAATGTTATTCTATGTTACTCTGGTGATCTCATAATAATGCCATGAATCATGAATTACTGCAGTCTCTGAATCATTCAAGGTGAAATTCAAAGCATAATGAAGGGGTACATGATAAGCATGAACAGGTTGCAACATATCACAAATAGGAAATCATATGGGGAAGGAGTAAAAAGGACGTCAAAGAAATCTGTGATTAAAAAAGAAGAGGGACTGGTCACTTGGTAAGAAAAAGGAATAATCAACGGACAGCACATATCTGCACTACTGTATCCTTGAAATATCAAGGGGACTCAAGGAAGGCACCTGCTGTGTTGGGTGCATTTCCTGTGTTGAACTTATGGGAGGACACAGACAAGATGGGACGGGCAGGGTTGGGTGAGCTGCATTCTGTACTGCTAGAGGAAACGCCCACATTAATGAGATCACAGAACTACTGCAGTATTGGAGATATTCTTTTAGTGCAGTTAATAGTAAGCTGCTTACTCTGCTTTCATGTAGTTAAGTTCTTCATTCTCCCAGTGAACCAGTGCCATTTCATAGGGCTGAACTTCATGTTTTTCCAAAATTTGCATCACATGGTTCATCTAGAGGAAAATAAAAATCAATCCCAAAAAGAGATGATTTAAAACACATGAGTATTCTATGATGCTAATATCTGAATTTTTTCCATAATACTTGTTAACTTTTTTTTGGCTGCTTAAGTTTGTTTTTAAAGTTATGGTTCAATTATTATAATAATAAATTAATCTTGATCTTGATGTTGACAGGGTATAGTTTACAATGCTTAAATTTTTTAAAAAATCTCTTGTAAAGTAATGTTTAGTTTGGCCTATTCTCAATGAATAACACATAAATTATCTATTTTGCAGATTATGCACTGCAAATGTTTAATCACAAGCAGGTTCTTGCTTGCAAATTACTCTCCCATCATTTACTATAATAATTCTATATAAATTATCTCATTTGAACCTTGAAACAACCATGTGTGGTAGGAATCACTGGTATTTTAATCTCCCATGTTACACAGGAAATTGAGGTTCAAAGAGTTTGTGACTTAAACCATAAATAAGTTAACTAGCTGATTAAATCATTAGTAGGTGTCAGAGGTATATTAAAACCCTAGGTCTCTCCTAACTTCAAGTCCAAGTCTTTCTACTATACTAACCTGCTTCATAAAATACACAGAATCAAAGATTTAAAGCTAGAAGGGCCCATCAAGCCAAATTCTCTCATTTTACAATTTTACAAGGAAACCAAGGCACAGAGAGGTTAAATGACTTGCCCAGTTCATACAGGCACAATGTATCTGAAAAGGAATTTGAAACTCAAGTCTTCCTAAGTCTAATACTCTCTCCAACATACCATGTTGCCTCTGGTTTCACATAAAAGAAAAGAGAACATAATTAGGAAGACAAATCTGCTTAGGAAAGTACGTAACAAAGAATAAATAGAAATACTGTTTAGATTTATCTGCTGCTTTCAGATTATTTGCACCACTGCTCTCATCCATTATGACAAATAATTAAAAGCTATGTAAAAACTTTTAAAATGTGTTCCTAGAAGCTTCTAAGTTTTCAAATTTATTTTCATACTTACAGTTTTATTCTCCACATTCCAAAATACAACAGCTCCTTCCCTGTATAAAACAAATGAAAGAATCCATTCAGTTTATAAGTTACATTATTTTATTTAATACAGAAAAACACATTCATAGAAATCCTGGAATATTTCCAAATTTAAGTATTATTAAAATTAATAAACTTTTAAAAAAATTCATGTGAAACTTTGGTTTCTATCTGGAATAGTTAAAATAAAAACTGTTTTTCATTTAAGTGTTTTTTGACTTTGTCAGGGGAAGGTGATGGATGTTTTTGTCCAATACAGATTGAAGAGACAAAATTTTAAAAAGGTCAAATCAAAAGTATTTATTTTTTATGATGTTTTTTAAACAAAGGTAATTTTTTTCTAAGATCACTGATTTTATAGTACTTTCTTAAAGCCCAAGTAATTGCTACTCTAATACTCTTTTGAATACTGAGATCAACTCAGACTAGCTATAATCAGGATATATAAAAATTTAAAGAGTCCAGAGATACTTTTTTGTCTCCTCCTTCAGCACTAACCATAGACTCTCTCTAGTTCCTAACCAACAAGAAAGGAACTCCAGGAGGAAATGCTCTGAAGGCAAAATGATTGAAATAAGCAGAGCTCCAGAGAGGTGTGGGGTATAGATGAAGTTGTGCCACACTGAAAATGCTCAAAAGAGAACTGTGATGATGCCTTAAACTGTTCAAAGTTGTGCAAGACTTTGCCAAAATGTAAAGCCTATATATAGCCATGAGTGAACTTGCCTAATTTGATGCTTATGAAAAGGATCAACATTAGTCTGGAAGTTGCTGAATGAAGTCTCTTGGATGGAATCCAGTTCATCAGGCCTCTAAAGAGCTGGAAAGTAATGTCAGGAGACCAGAGGAAATGGGCCATGAAATTTCAAGAGAAATAGTGAGAGTAGGGAAAAGATAATTTAGTCAATAATGACAATAACTGCTATGGATAACTTGGCCAGTGATATGCTACCATTAGAACATAAAGCTTTTATAGATGTATCGTATTAAATATATGCAACACAGGAAAAATTTAGATTAAAAAGGCAAATTGGGGAATGATTATTTACTTACTTAAAGAAACCTTACAAAAGGATGCAATCCAGGATTCTTTTAAATAAGTTCCTAGCACATCTTAAGTAGGACTAATTGTCCCATTTACTGTACAAAATAAAGGAATTCAATGTCTAGAATATAGACAGATTATCTAGAATAGATTTTGGTTTTTGCATTACCTGAAGAAAAAGATTGTTCCAGGATCATGTTCTTTTTCAGAATTTTTTACACCAATCACCAAAATATTTGCTGCATCTATAAATTAAAGTAAATGGAAAATCTATGTAAAAAAGGTAATATTCTTCTCCCCCAAATCAGTTGTTCTGAAAACTAACTTTGTTGAAATTCTTAAGGCCACTGCTCCAAAAAAAATACTATGTGACATAACTGTCTACCTAGGTTTCAAAAAAGAGATAACAGCAGAAATGAGAAAAGGATAAGAAAAGATTTACCATATAACAGCAATACTTGGCACTGTTTAAAACTGTCCAGTTAAAACTAATTTTGGTTCTACAGTTTGCTCCATTTAGTAACTATTGAAACTGTACTAGTTCCTATGATTCAAGCATTAAGTTACTCCAAAATCAGCACAGAAAAAAAATCTTAAAAGAATACTTATTTTTTCCTTAACATATTTTGCTAACAACATAGTTTCAATAATAATAATAATGATGATGGTAACATCTACCATTTATACAGCACTTACTGTGCTAAGTGCTTTACAGTGATTATCTTATTTGCTCCTAACAACCCTGGGAGGTCCCCACATTACAAGTGAAGAAATTGAGGCAAACAAAGGTTAAGTGACTTGCCCAGGCTCACACAGCTAACAGTCTTCTCTGACCCTAGGCCCAGCACTCTATGATACTATACCACCAAGCTTAGATATTTCAAAATAAGACTATGAGACCTACAGAGGAAATACGTAAAGATAAGGAAACATGGATATTGAGAATTTTGGAATGAATATAACCTTAAAAGTTCTCCATGAGAATTACTACTCTATTTAATTTAAATAAATAAATCAGAATGAGACCTTCTAATTTTAAAAATTCTCCCCTCCAACCTTCCACCAAATTGTCCTGTGAGAAACCAAATCCTAAATTTTCACTCTTTTTGAACTACAGTCTCCTTAAATGACTGTAGATGTGGGCAACTTAATTAGCATGGCCAAAGGTGACAATTAGGGACAAGATGATTTCAATAAAGCTCCTCAGAGAGTTGAGATGGTGGTTTGTTTAGAGCCCAGGCACTAGACTGCCTGTAAGTTTGGACACGAACAATGTGATACAGCTGAAACACAATGTCAGTATAGTGGTTGCTGTTGTAGATCTCTAGTGAAGGGGTTCTGGACACAGCTTTGTTACTCCAGATGAGCTATGTCTGTCTTAGCAACAAAGTAGCAGAGTAGGCATTCTCATTCATAGGGTTGTCAAAATACAGCACAATGTGTGAGCTAAAGTGTGGTGCCCTCTACGTTGGGGTTAAGGGATAGCTAGACACACTTGCTTTGTAAAGTTTCCTCTAATTACAGTCTTCTAGACCATGTTTTTTATTCAAATAACGTTCACTGAGAGGATCCTACTTGGGACCATCCTAAAAATTGTGACTAAAATGTGACTACCACCACCTGTTTTTGGGGGAATCTTTCCTCTTATTTTAGACTTTAAAAGAATCTGTTTGGTTACTCCAGCACGAATTTTAGTTTTTAAGTATCTGAATGTATAAGCTATGGACAATTTACTCCAAAAGTTCTTATTACTCAGCATCCCTATGACTAGTAATTTTGTAGCAATAACATAGTTTTAAATTTGACAAAAATAAGAGGAAACAGATCTTCTGCCTTCAAAGTACTTAATAATGTAAAAAAATTGCTATTTTTGTCTATGACAATTGACTTATATACAAATACATTATTCTTTTCTCATATAAATATATTACTTGTGTAAAGTGACTTTGACTGTGGATACTAAATGTGGATATGACAATTCTTAAAACAAGTAAGACAAAGACAACTGTTTCTTTGAAACAAATTCTACTTCTAATACATTTTTAACACATCTGGCTTTCATATTAAAAATATACCTCTAGGCAAGTTGGTTATTTCCATGAATCCATGAGATCCCAGTTCATGGGACAGATTACCAAGATGATATTCATCTGCTGTTGCAAATGCTGTGCAGTGCATCAGGTCCTGTAGCAAGCAGAGCAACACAACACAGGTTACTAGAATTTATCACTTTCTAAGTCTGGATTTGCGAAACTAGAACTCAAGATACACAAAGTTTTTGAAAATAAACAATGTTATCCAAAGAGAAGGTATACTTTGAAGATATTTTATAGTTGTAACTACATTTATTACAGGAAATTTCAACTTTAAAGCAGTAAAAGTCAGCCCGGGATTCCAGTTTGACTAATGTGAAACTGACAAGTCCTTGGCCTGGAAAGTGACACTCTTGTCCATAAGATTGTGTCTTCCACCAGGTCCTAATAATATTTTTATGTAAGGTGGTTGAAAAGATGGGTAAAAAAACCTCATCATTTCTAAACATTTTCAGATCTCCATGACTTTGTGGCCCATTCTACTTTTAGAAAATTCAAACTGCTACGAAGTTTTCCTTCCATCAATCCTTCAACCTGATGCTCCAAGTTCTGCCTTCTGGACCCAGGTGAAGAAACTGAATCCTTCTTCCACATGATCCTCTCCAGACACTTGAAGAGCTCTCCCATATTGCCCATTAAATCATTTCTTCTCCAAGATAAATATCCAAAGTTCCTTAACCAATTCTCATATATTATGATCTCAGACCCTACACCTCCCTAGTCACCTTCCATCCTTGTTAATGTCATTCTTAAAATGACTTATAAAAAACTCCAAACATGTCTGACCATGGCAGAGTACAGCAGGTCTATCACCTCTCTTAATCTGTACATTACACCTTTCTTAATGCAATCTAAGATCATACTGGTGTTCAGCTGCCACGTTGAATCATACTGTATTTGTATTCCATTAAAACCAACAGATATTTTTAGCATGATTGGTGTCCCTCTAATCCTATGAGATTATTTTAAACCCAAGTGTAAGGTTAAGTCAAAAGCATTATTAACTATCCTCTTAGATTTGGCCTACTGTTTTGGTTTGAGTTCATTTGGGTTCCTGATTTTGCCATCCAAAATGTTAGTTATCTTTCCTAAATTGATAAGCTTGATATCTATATCCTAACACATTGTTAAAAAATATTCAATACCACAGGGCCACAAACATATCCTACAGGCACTCCAGCAGGAGTCCTTAAAGCAGATATCAACTGATGACTATTCTAGTCATTCAAAATCCTGAATCAATACTGTCATTAAGGCAAAACCTTATATTTCACAGAATCACAGAATTTCAGAATTGAAACTGACTATCTAGTCCAAACCATAACTGAACGATTTCTGCAACATACCAAATGTGCCTGAATTCTTCCAGTGCGGGACAATCTGTTCCCTTCCACTGCACTTTTAGATGGCTCTAATTGTTAAGAAGCTTTTCCTTATACAAAGCCTAAACATGCAGCTTTGTAACTTTTATCACTTCTAAGATTTTGTCAAATGATTTGTTAAAATTGTCTCCCTACAGTACTCTGCCAATCTAGGTGCTTAGTGTCAAAATAGGAAACAAAGATGGCTTGTCTCTTACTAATCTGTTTTCCTTTCTTAAAGTTCACTGGCCTGTAGTTTGGAGACTCCATCTTCTTTGCTTTTTTTCTTTTAACAAAGTGAGATGGCTGCTCTCTTCCAGTCTTGCAGCATTTCTTCCATCCTCCTCAACTTTGAATCAGCAATCACTTCTGCCAGTTTTTCCATACCCTGGGATCACTCATCCCACCCTGGTAACGTGAAGTTACTGAGAGTAGCCAGATGTTTTATTATCACTTCCTCACTTGTCTTAAGACTCAACTCCCTATTAGTCATTTTTTCTCTAACCTTCCTAATCCAGAAAGCATCCTCCTTGGCAGAAAAACAAAAACAACAAAAACAACAGGAGTTAAGTATTCCTGCCTTTTCTACTCCATCTGTTACTGCCTATCCCAAGAAGTGGTCTCACACCTTTCTGGTCATCCCCCCCTTTTTTTTTTTTGGCAAGGCAATTGGGGTTAAGTGACTTGCCCAAAGTCACACAGTTAGTGTTATGTGTCTGAGGCTGAATTTGAACTCAGGTCCTCCTGACTCCAGGGCTGGTGCTCTATCCATTGCACCACCTAGCTGCCCCTGGCCATCCTTTTGCAAAACATGACTTAAAATCCTTTAGTTTGCCATTTAAGACTCTCCCCTTGGCTCTGACCTTAGCCTATAGTCTTATTTTACATTACTCCCCTTCAAGCACCCTAGGTTACAGCCAAACTGTACTGTTAACTATTCCCTAACGATGCCAGGTCATCTCATATTTCTGTGAGTCATAGAAGCTTTCTCCCATTCCTGGGAAGCATTTTCATCTTGGCCTTTCACAATCTTTATCCTCCTTCAGAAGGCTCATCTTAGGTGTTAACTCCTTCAGGGTGCTCTCTCAATTCCCACAATCATCAGTGTTTTTTCCCTCCTCAAATTGCTACTGCAATCATATTAGTAGTATTATATAGGGCTTTAAGGTTTGCAAAGCACTTTACAACCATTATCTCATTTTATCCTCACAATAGACCTTGGGAACTAGGTGCTATTATTATCATCATCTTACAAGTAAGGAAACCGAGCCACAGAGAGGCTAAATGATTTGTCCATGGCCACACAGCTAGTGTCTGAGGCCAAATTTGAACTCTGGTCTTCCTGCCAAGTGGATCAACTTGCTTATACAAAAATATCTTTCTATCTCTCCTTTACTCTTTCATTTCTTATGCTATATTATTCTTACCTAAACCATGCTGTGTTCTCGCAATGGGATATAAACCTCTTGACAGCAAGGCTTATTTTAATTTTTATATTCCCAGCACATGTATAATGCCTTGCATGTAGTAGGCACTTAATATTTGTTGAATTGAATTAAGGCAAGTCAAAAATGTATCAGTAGCTTGACTTTTAAATTATTGTTTTTTGACCAATCATTTTTCTTTAATCCTGTTCTCACCCAGCAACCTCAAACCCCAAAAAGCAAAGAGAAATATTTGAGAAAAAGCAACCTGCCACATTCTGAATTTATAGTGCCCATTCTTCATAATCTGTTTTCCTACTAGGAAGGCAGAATGTTTCCTCATCAAGTGTTCTGGACCTAGATTTGTTATTACAATTAATCAGAATGCATTAACTCTACTTTTGGCAAGTATAGAACCAAGATGAAATTTCAATTCTTGAGATGACAAATCAGTTATTTAGCCAATGAATATTTATGTACCTACTCTGAGGTAGGCACTGTGCTAAGTGCTTCATATATAATATCTCATTTGATTTTGCAACTGTGAGAAATAAATATTTCTCCCATATTTAATAAATGCTCATTGTGTTTGTTCAGACAGGCCCTGAAAATGTTGATTCTCCTTACTATCAAGACAGATGATATAGAAATTGATGTCTCTCTGACCAAGATTTGAGTGACATAAGCCACATACCCCCACATAGTCCACCTCCTATTTGATCAACAAATCAAGAGTTGAAAGGCACCTCTTGGGAAGACCTCCTCTTTGAAGGGCATATAAACTGTGATCCCTCTGCTATTAGGGGTGTTTGGTCTACAAGAGACAGACAAATGACCATCCTTTTATTAATAACATGCTGGCCTTATTAATAAAATAATTAAATTACGCAGAAAATGTTTCTCAAGCCTTTTAAAATGTCACACAATAATCCTGGTAGGTAGGGCCTATTATTATCCCCATTTTAAGGTTAAGGAAACTGAAGCTCAGAGCAGTTGAGGGATTTGCCCTAGATCACACAGCTAGTAAGTATTTAAGAACGGACTTGAACTCAGGTCTTCCTGACCTAGTCCCACTCTCTTCATATAGCTGCCACATCCTAGTCATAAAACCTAATTCATAAAGTCACATACACATAAGGCTTAAATTTGTCTTCCTGTATTAGCATCATTACTTCACCTACTGAATATATATTGTGGATGGTGATCAGAAGCCATTAAAAAAATTACTGTATTTACTCTTAGATATCATCTCCTATGGATTATTAATCCTCTCCACTGTTCTTTTTCTTCCCATGCTGTACTTTCTACTGTAAGGTACCTATATTCACAGAGCTTTGTCGTTTCCTCTTTGGTTTAAAGTAGTCTTGTCCAGCTTTGCAAGCCTTCCAGCAAACATATTTTAGGCCCTTTTTAGGTATACTCTATACCTGGTCAAAAACTTGGCATGACTTTATATTAAGGTATGGCCCAGAAGTACAGATACCTTCTTTTTATCTAGGTGTTCACTTCCTAAATCCAACTCTTTTCTGAGGCTCTTACATTTAAATGCTAGCAGTAATAAGAACACCATAGGCATACCTGAAATCAATTTCCTTCCCAGGCCTTCACAGGTCTCAGTAATGACTTTTAGATTCCTTCTGGCAGTACCACCAAGAACAGTGGCATTAGGTTTGATAAGTCTCAGGAGGCTTTTTTTTGGTCATATCCCAAGCACACTCACTAGGAAAGTAATAGTCTCTGATCTATGTCTAGCTGACAAATAACTACGTTGGTATACCTGAAGCAGGAATGACACATACACACAAGGGTCTTCACTGATCCAAATCTTTCCTTGTTACAGGACAAGGTTCTGTTTTATATTTGGAGAGTACAGTTTCTCCCTAAGATTAATCTCATACCTATCATTTAGCACCAAATGATCTTCTCCCACTCTTCCACCCTATGGACTCCTGATAGAGCTTAGGATTTCTCTCTGCCTCTTCAGGAACTGTTGCTTCCTTGTTTCTACCTGCACATTGTGAATGCAGAGCTGTTACTTAGCGATGGCAGAATTGCAACTTCTAAAGGGTTAAACACACAAGGTCACAGGTATAATACAAGATTGTACAAGAACAGAGGATAAAAAAAGGTTGGTGGGAGTGAAGTACAAAGGGCTTTACTGGAAGTATAAGATAATGTTTGTAAAGCACTCAGCACTGTGACTAGCATGTAGCAGACAATAAATGCTTTATCCGTTTTTTCTCTCTCCCTCATTCAATGGTGGAGCTGGGAGTGTCCTGTATTTATTATCACTCCCCTTGTGATCT